AAAAAAAAAAAAAAAAAAAGCCTGTATGTTTTTTAGCCATTGAGTGAGAGTGCACAAGTTAAATTCATCAGATTTCTGCAGCCTGCTTATTTTCTCTCTCCATTCAGATATACTCTCTCAGCACAAATATGAAAGCATATCCAAATCTGTCTTGTGTCCAAATTTTGAGAAGCTTCAATTCACTTCAAAGTCATGATTCAATGGTTTTCACACATTCCTGCTTCCCACATCTACTTTACTTTGCTAACCAGAATGAGCTGATATAGGACTAGAAAAGTTTAGAGATGAAGATGTGCATACACTTATAAGGACAGAACTCTGATGAGCCTACAGGAAGCAAGAAGTGGTACCTGTTGTCAGCTTGTTATTATGTAGGTGGGAGAGGTGGAAGTGGATGGATTGAACTTCTTTGGACTTCCCTGAAGAAACAGACTTCAGAGGTAGCCTTAAAACAGATAATGAACAATACTTCTGATTCTCTGGCGAGCATGTTAGACAGAGGAACCAGCCTCTAGTATTTGACCCAAGTAAGATATATAGAAAAAACATGTTTCCTTCTCTACACACACTGACATTTTTTGGCCCTGGCATTCATTATCCAATTTTTTGGAGTACAACTTTTGGAGCTACCAAAGTTGTATAGGACAAGAGCACCACCTATTGCTAAGCTGGGCACGGAGCCATGAGGAGCACAATTCCCTAGGAATCGGGCTGATTTTACCAAGTCAAATCCAAGTCCAGCCCTTTATTTACAATAGGAGCTCAAAAAATATTGAAATGAACAAACCTATCCTACTGCCTTACAAACTCTCTTACAATCCTATGGTACAATCTTATAGTACTTTCATTTAGATACAGGTTCTTACTATCCACAGTATAAGATCCTGTTCAGAGACAAAACAAAAAGAATATAGCCCATGGCACCAAAATTAGGGCAACAGATTATAATACCTCCCTTTTCCAAGGAAAGGAGACTTCAGAAGGGACTGTGCATCTTTCTGGTGAAACCACAGAGAAGGAATCAAGGTGTGAAACCCAGGAGATTTTGGTCAGTCTCTCAAGGATATGGAACTAACCCTTCCCAGGGAAATAGCAAATGTAAAAGTATAGAAGAAAGAGAGATAAAATACAGGTTCCAGTGAGCTCCTCACCCCTCCTGCCCCAGCTAGTCTACAGAGCACAATGGGGTCAGTGAGGAGCTGGTTGGTTCTCACAGTAAACAGCCAGTGAGGCTGGTGCTTTTTATCGATGCGAAAAGAACTCAGACACTTCCTGCTATTTAAACAAGGTCCATTTTTCTTTCAAAGAACAGGAAAAGCCACAAGAGATTCCCACAGCACCAGCAATAAGCCTTCTACTCCTGTACTGAGAACTTAACAGCCAGAATGAAGAAGGGAGAAAGAAGAAATAAGGTGTTATCTTGCTTCTTTCAATTACGGGTGCTCAGCTCCTGCCTGGGATTCTGTGATTTCTCTGCAGGCTTGTTTACACTTAGGTTTCCCCCTGATTTTCAAACAATATACCTCTACCCACTGCTTTCAGGTGTTCTAAGTCAGCTATGAGGCCATATGCAATACTGCTTTCATATACCCAAAAAAGCATCTTCAGTTCAAAGCACTCCCAAAACTACTGACAGGCTGACGCAAACCCCTTGACATTTGACAAAGTTAACATTAAATGGAAAAATCAGGCCTTAAAAACTGGAATCCAGTTATCTCTTAGAAAGAGCAGATGCTCTCTTTTGAATGCTTACCTCTAGTTTACTTCCATTACAGGCCAATAAGATGAATACAATCAAGATATCAGAGAATTTGGAAACCAAAACTAACACTGTAGCTACCACTCCAGCTTGCGCAGCAGGTATAATCAAAGAACATGAGCCTACAAACCCTCTATGTTCAGTTTCCTTAAAAGTGGTCTCACTAAAGCAAAGATGAAAACCTAGTTTCCTTTCAACCCTTGACCTTGACCCTAGGGGGTCTGGGAATTCGCTAGCATATTGGCACAAATGCACTATTTTTCCTCTTGTTATCATTTAGAACTCTAGTACTTTATGCAGGATGCTGTTTATGCTACTTAAACTAGGCTTTCTGGGAGTGACAACATTCTCATTCATTTCACTGGCAATGGCATAAGACAACGGTACTCATTCGACCTGGAGCCTTTCCTACCAAGGCTCATTTCTACCCTTTTTTTTTCTTTAAAGCAGCATTCCTTTCAGCTATAAGCACAAATCCAAAAATATTTACTTCTCCACTCAAGTCACAAATTACTAGTATTCTTATCTATAAATCACTTAGGGCAAAAGAGAAAATGAAAACCTCAAGAACACTGAATTTCAAACATCCGCAAGTACCACATGGAGTATCTCCCCAGTTCTCCACTTGCCAAACCTGGGAATATATTCCAAGAGAATGGAGAACTTACCTGGAATCCTGATGAAAGACCAGCCATTCTGAGGCCTGATGCTCCACAGCCCTCCGACTGGCCCTGGGAAGAACTGGGATCGCCGATTTAGCCAGTCTGCAGCCAGTTCAGGGGCCCCATTCAACAAACACTGCTTGGCTGCCAGACTCCCTCCTTCCTTCAGAATTCGTCGCTCATATTCTGCACTTCGGTCATTGCAGTAAGAGTCCAATGGCACTGCGGTAACCTGCAGTTAAAGATTCACACGAGATGGCTCTTTTATATTGTCCACATGGACTAATAAGCCTTTTGGGCACCTCTACTTTGAAATCAGACTAATATGGATAATTCTTAGGCTAATGGCTTTAAATATCCTGTTCTGACAAACTAAGCTGTCCCTAGTGGCTGATGCAGTGAGCTTCTCCATGTGAAAGGCCAACCTCTTATAAAATGAACCTGCAAACAAACTAAAGATCCAAAGAGAGCTAGAGTTTGCAGATAAACCAAGGTACCAGGTCAGCAATAATTTTATTTCATACATTTATATCTGATCACTGTGCCATCTCCCTTCATTGCTAGATATTGTTCTCGGCAAGGTTCTATAGCCATACACATAATAGTGATGCCAGAAAGGGAGCTGGAGCTAGTTAGATATCATTCAGGAACTAAAGAGTAGTGACCTAGTGTATTTGAAGCTATCTTTAAAAGATGGTTTTGAGGCGAAGCTCCCAAGTTTATCAAGACTTCTTTCTCCTCTTCCCTGACCAAGGTGCTGACTGACAAACCCAATAGAAGATAAGAACAATTTTCCTTAAGTCTGTAAGCTGGGGATGGGAGGGAAGTAATTGCCAGAGAGTAGCATATTCATTTCCTGGCCAGGGCAGAGGTTATGCACAGATTCTTATCTTACCACAGGTGCAACCGAACAACACTTAAATGCTGCCCTCCCTATGGAGTAGGGGGCTCCTAAAATTTAGAAACATAGGTTTTTATCCTTCTTCACTATCTGGGTCTATTCCCACTCTAAGAAGCAGCTGTGTATTCAGATGGCTATGAAATCAACTGATAAGGAGCATGAAGATGACAAGGCTACCTTTTGTTAAAATGTGGAGGCTGTGATTATCTCCAAGCCTAGGTTGATAAAATGCTAAAAGCCCATCACAAATTGAGTGTTCCTAATTCAAAACTCCAAAATCCTAAATGTCACAAAATTTGAGTGTCTACATGACACGCAAAGGAAATGCTCATTGAAGCACTCTGAATTTTGAATTTTTGGATAAGGGATACTCAACATGTATTAGCAGTAAACTGCTCAGAAGAACCCTGGAGCTAAACTAAGAGCTGGGGAGAAACTAAGTATAAAAAGCAAGGGCCAAGGTACAGGAGAGATTAGAACATAAATCATTGGTTGGACTTAGCAAGGAAGTTCAGTTATTTCTTGGAAGTTAGGCACCTAGAAATCCTATCTTGCTATTTATTAACTTTTCTATTTTCATGTCAATCAATCTTTAGGGCAATGGTTGTCAAGTTTTGGTATGCATAAGGGTCTCCAAGCCCTGAGAATACTGCCTTGGGGCATATGAACAGTCAGCTAGCTGGCCATCAGGCTATAGGTGCCTCTGCTGGGAACAAGAGAGTACCAAGGTTACAAAAAGAGCATCATTTACCAATAACCAGAGAATAAACTACTCTGGCTTGCAGATGAAGCTCAAGTGAGTTTGCTAGGGAGCAGTGCCATCTACGGTCCAGATGGAAAACTGCAGAGGGCCATAGCAAACTAGGCCTGGAGTTCCAAAACCCACACGGGTTCACCACAGAAATCAGTTTATCCAGACAGTATGAGGAGCTCATATCACCTTTATGCTCTCCAGAAGGAGTTTGTTTTCTTGCTTTCAACTTATTTGTTTTTCCCACTCATATCTGAGCATAGGCAAATAAAGACTGAAAGACAATCCAGGTGGATAAAAATTGGGTCTCTCCTTGCTATGGCTTGTTCTGGCAGTACCCCAGCAGGTTCTGGGCCAGAGCGAACATTTCCCATGTAGGAGATATGTGTCCCAGACCCTCAAAATTAATAGCAGCTGTATTTTTATAAAAATAGTTTAATAAGTAGTGGGATGGATTATAGAAGTATGACCAGGTCTCTGTATCTCAAACAGCATGCATATTTTTAGATGAGTAAAGGGTATTAGTCTTTTCTAATGAGAGACTCATACAGAACAATTTTACACTCAAAAATAACTGCTTTGTTTTTTTTTTTTTTTGGTGGGGGGATGGGGTAGAAAAGATTAATAAAGACTTTGGGCCTGTATTCTCAAGAAGAAAAGTCAAAAGCTAGAAACTCGGCATGAAGGAATAAAGGGAGAACAGTGACACAAAAAGAATGTTTTTTGTTTTTTTGACTGCAACTCATTTCTAGGCATTCTTATAGTTTGAAAGCAAAACAACTTTTTCCAGTTATAAACTTTCACCTATTTTCCAATTTTCATCTTGCTGATAACCTTTCAAGTCCAGGGCTGAATACTGGGAGGTTTGTAAGACACAGTTCTTAGTGAAATATTTTTTAATGTTTTGATAAGCTTCTTTGGCCAGGAGCCCTGGATCAAGATATATGCAGAATCACAGAATGCCATGTTGTAAGTACGTAAGCAGTGTACTCATGAGGTCCAAAAGAGGACAAAAAAGTCCATTTCTACTTAGAATAAATCCTGCTTTCTAAGTCAGCTTTATTCTAGACAGCCTCATTCTGCTAACCCCATGTGGCTTTCTTGATTGCTTAGAAGCAGGGGGAGATGAAGCATGACATACCATTCTTCCCTCCCCACAAATGGAAATGCACACTCCCTCTAGTCCCACATGAGCTAGCCTGCTTCTTGCTTCATTAACCTCTGAAACTACAGTACCTTCAGGGGTTGCCTCTTCAAGCATTTGGTGCGTTCTTCCCGAGGATACGTATGTTCCTGCTCTAGCTCTAAGAAGCGTAACCGCTCCAAGCATTGCAGCATGTTGGTAAGACGAATTCTCAGGGTCGTAGTTTATTAACTCTGTGGAATCATTTCCTCAGCCAATGATAAAACAACTCCTATAATTCCTTCCTGCCACTAAGAAAGTTCTTCCTAAACTGACCCTAAGGTTTTCATAGCATGTGCCAGGGAAATTAATTTGTGCTAACCTAAGGCCATGATTGAGGCTTCAAAGGAAGTCAGTTTCTCTCTCCCCACCACAGATGGGTTAGAAATCCATACAAGACAATTAATCTAATGAAGTCTTACCTTATTTACTGATCTGAATCCCCAGGACTCTGGTGAAAGCTGTGTATGTGTGTATGAAATACTGAGACATATTTAAAACTCTTCTTCCAGCCCTCATAATCATGGTGTAATTATTCCCATTTTCAGGTTTAGCACATGCTATTGAGAAAAAACTCTACAAACAAATATGAGTTTGGAGTTGGAAAGGGTTGGAAATGCAGGTGCTGGGGAGCAGCCTTTCAGGCAAACAGTAAAAATAAAAGCTTTCTCCTACTCCCTCCTTGCCACCACACGTTTACAGCTATTATAGTTTTCCTCAGCTACATTTATTGTTTTTTAGGAAAATAGCAGCAGCAAGCATGATGGTTTAGATTTCTGGCTCCTATGAAAACAATACTGAAGAAGTACAGTTGGGGCACGCACATGTGACAGAGTGGGGTTGTTTCTCAAAGTAGATGGCATTAGAGATTTTGGGAGCTCTGAGTGATAACAAATGAAGAATTTTTATGTCAATAAATGCAATTATAGGCTGAGATAGCTCACTTTTATTGGCTCTACAAAACATTGAGAATATGAGAAGTAAAAAAGACTTGACATACCTCTCTCAGAAATCTAACTTCTTCCTATTAGGCCTCTTGGTATACACCAATCAGACTAAGAGAACAAAATCAACCGTGCAACCACGAAGACTGAAGGCTACCTTTTATGGAAGCCCTTGGCTTTAGATGTTTCCTAGAAAAAGTGCATTTCCCTGCATCAACTTAAGCTTCCAAAACCAAGATTATTTTGGAATAACAGGATACATACAAAATCCAAACACTTTCTGAATAGTTGATATAAACTAAACAAAGTCAATAGTGGTAAGAGAATTAAATTCATGTAGCACAGGACCAGCATAAAGAAACCCTGGCATGCAGGACTCAATAGTTCAATTCTATTCATCTTTCTTCGTATCCCCTGTAGGATTCTGTCTTTGATAAACTTAATAAAGGATGCAAACTGATGATAATAAAAGGTAGAAAAATATTTTCCAAGAAAGATTGAAAAGGCTCCTTCTTCTTTAGAACTGTGAACCAGTAGACTTGCTAGGATGAGTGGAGAAACAAGATAAAAACAGAGAAGGGTAAGAAATGTCAACCTCTTAGAGCTCCCTGGCTAACTGAAAACTGCCCCTTGGAGCAAAAGGAAACAAGGTGGCGAGACAAATTCATTCTTTGCTCTGATCACAGAATCTGGCTGTATCTCTTTCTGCCTCTCTCCCTTCACATACTTCTTCATGGATGTGAGAAAAGATCTTTTGTCTGGCTCTGATCAACATGGACGGGAAAGAACTGGAAGATGTAAGCAAAGTAAACAACCCCAGTGTGCCAATGGGAGCCTTTGCAGTGATGCTTGTCAGCAATTGCAGGAGTACTCTGTTTTGATAAACAGGGTATTAAGAAAGATCCAGACAGCTGCTCAAAATAGAAACTGCAAGAGAAACTACCCCCACTCTGCAAATAAGAGTACAACTGCTTAATGGTGAACAGTTCCTTTTCAGATAGAAAATGATTGTGAAATATAGTCCAGGCAAGGCTGCTTAGGAAAACGAGAAAACACCAGACTGAGAAGTTTCTTGATGCTGGAGTGTTATGTTTCCTTTTGTTATTTAGAGACTGTACTGAGGTGATATGGCCAGATCAAATCTCCCCCCGCTTAATATGGCCCTCTCCTATGAAAATCCTCAAAAACTTTAATGCTGGTGACAAATGGCACCCTCTCCCCTGACCCTGCTGCTGGGTGATAATCTACCTGACAGATGGCTTATTCTCATCATAGTTTAGAGCCCGTGACTAAATGAGAGGAAGAAGCTGTCCACCATACAACTATTCTCAAGTCAACAATTCAAGGTAAGAAAGTGTTGTCTTGGGAAGGAGAGAACCATAGATGACTTCTGTTTGAATATTAAAATTTATATGTTTCTTAAAGTCCAAATAGCTTAAAACAGTTCTGCTTAAGAAATGAGTCCCTTGAAAATTGGTTTATTTCTTCTAGTACCATCTATTTTGTCTCTTCCCTCCTGTGTCACTTACTCGTGGACTGGCCACACACAAAAAAGATGGCAGCTCAGTGAGCAGACAGCAACGAAGCGAGGAGGTAGCTGATCTCCGTTGATGGACCACCTGGTCTGAGTAGCCACTTACTGCTTTACAGTGGCCGCTAAACACAAGAGACTACAAAATAAAAATGCAGATTAGTGTCAATGACAATAATATTTAATGTTATCAAAATGGAAAAAATGTCACATATTAAACATCTAACTTAAAAAACTTTCTTCCTAGTGTGTATTATTAATTCTAATACACAATGAACCACTAATTAGAACCAACCATATAATACAGTCAAAGTGCATGTTAATTTCAAACTGTGGTTTTATTAATGTACCTTAAGCAACTGTCATTTCTAATTCTACTTTTTTCTGGAAGAGATACTGTTAATCATAACTAGGCAGAGCAAAAGTTCATTAGACAAAATGCTGTGTGAATGTGGGGGGGGGTTGATTCATCTGCTATACTGTGGATGAAAACTCACGTCTTGAGTTAAAAACAATGATGACCAACACTATTTCCTTCTAAGTCTTTCTTTAAAGCAGTTTAGCATCATGTGTACTAACATAGTGCAATGTAGGTCTCGCAGGGGTAGTTGTCTTATTTATTTGAGGACATTGATACAAGTGGTCAGAAAACAGAAAATAGTTCTCGTTAGTTCCATTTATAATGGAAATATAAATTACTTATATTACTGTTTCAAAAAATATTTTAATAGACTTCACAGCTCATGTTAAAGCTTCAGTTTATAGTCATTCGTATGAAAGATTTTAAGTAAGAAATGTTCACATACAAAGAATTACTCAGTGGGACACAGTATTCTATATTGGAGATACAGAAGTTCTTTCCTCAGTATGCTATACATTTTATCTTTGGATATGCAGTCTTGATTACTTCACCTATTTGTTTTACTGGTTTCTCAATAAGGCAGGCTGATAACCTAAATAACCATCTGGATGAAGATAACACACACGGCAGTCTAATTTACACACTGTTGTAAGGTCAAGAATACAAACAGCAAGGTCAGAACAGCAACCTGGACCCTCTACAGGAGAATAGTTATAATTTCAGTACCAAACTTCTTAGAGGCTTCTTTGTTTAGTATAAAACATATCTTCCTCTTCTACTCATGTAAGTCTATTTTACACAGAGCTTAAATCTCCTGAAGTAAATGGGTTCTTTAGGATCATAGTTTGAGAGGAGTCATCTCAAGTTGTCTAGCAGGTTACATGCATCATTACCTGCTTCCACGAACCAATCAGCATCTTCTATAACAAATAACAGTTATGAACAAACTGAAAAGACTTTAACTATTTTCCAGGATAGCTAGGCTGTCTCTGGAGGTTTCTAATCACACAGTATGGAAGTCTTCACACTTGATCAGTGGTCCCCAACCTTTTTTTTTCTTGAGACAGAGTCTCACTCTGTTGCCCGGGCTAGAGTGAGTGCCGTGGCGTCAGCCTAGCTCACAGCAACCTCAAACTCCTGGGCTCAAGTGATCCTACTGCCTCAGCCTCCTGAGTAGCTGGGACTACAGGCATGTGCCACCATGCCCGGCTAATTTTTCTATATATTTTTAGTTGTCCAATTAATTTCTTTCTATTTTTAGTAGAGATGGGGTCTCGCTCTTGCTCAGGCTGGTTTCTAACTCCTGAGCTCAAACAATTTGCCCACCTCGGCCTCCCAGAGAGCTAGGATTACAGGTGTAAGCCACCGCGCCCAGCCACCCCCACCTTTTTGACGCCAGGGACCAGTTTCATGGAAGACAATTTTTCCACAGACCAAGGGAGGTGGGGTGGGGGAAAATGGTTTTGGGGTAACTCAAGAGCATTACATTTATTGTGCAGTCACATCTCTCTGCTAACGATAATCTGTATTTGCAGCCGCTCCCCAGTGTTAGCATCATCACCTCAGCTCCACCTCAGATCATCAGGCATTAGATTCTCATAATGAGTGCGCAACCTAGATCCCTTGCACACGCAGTTTACAATAGGGTTCGAGCTCCTATAAGAATCTAATGCTGTAGCTCATCTGACAGGAGGTGCAGCTCATGTGGTGATGCGAGTGATGGGGAGTGGCTGTAAATACATATGGAGCTTTGCTCACTCTCCCTATGCTCACTTCCTGCTGTGTAGCCTGGTTCCTAACAGACCAAGGACCAGTACCGGTCGGAGGCTCAGGGGTTGGGGACTGCAACACTTGATTATAAAGCTGGGCCCATGTACCTATGACACATTTGGCCTACTTTCTAGATGTTGAGGTCCCTGTCAATACCCAGAAAAGAATTTTAACCTTCTGATAGAGTTTTTCAACAACATCTTTGTTTTCATCTTTATTTTGGCTAGCATCTGCAGTGAAGTTCATCCATCTCGCTACATTTTTATGTCCATTATCGTCTGAATGCCTTGCGTGAGGATCATTACAAAGAATATTTGGCTGGGTATTACCCTGTTCTTCTAAGATCAGATACTGAATAGCTAGAAATATTACCTAAAAAAATCCTATTGCTAATATACAGATGGAGGTAAAAAGATGTTGCCATTTTTTTTTTGTTTGTTTCCTCAAAGTCCATTTCTGACATTAGCAGTAGCCCCTCTTGCCCATTGTAGGTGATAGAAGAGGTGATTCAAGTCTAACTTCTGCTCATCTCAGCCAGCTACATAGTATTCAGGGCTGGTAGCCAGGATATCCACTGCTACTCGGACCATTCCTGGATAGGTAGGTGGCTGAGGTAGCAGCAGTAGCTGACCTAAAAACATTTCAATTCTTGGCCGGGTGCAGTGGCTTACACCGGTAATCCCAGCACTTTTAGAGGCTGAGGTGGGAGGACCACTTGAGGCCAGGAGTTCGAGATCAGCCTGGCCAACATAGCCAGACCATGTCTCTACAAAAACATAAAGTAAATAATAATAAAAGCCTTCTGAATTCTTACTAACTTCTTAAGGAAAATAACTAAACAATGTCTCTGTAAGAGAGCTCTTTAAATCACCCTCATTTTAGGAACCTGATTCAGATTAGTTTTTTGTCTTTTTTTTTTTTTTTTACAAATAAAAATCTATTAAAGGCCGGGCGCGGTGGCTCACGCCTGTAATCCTAGCTCTCTGGGAGGCTGAGGCGGGCGGATCGTTTGAGTTCAGGAGTTCGAGACCAGCCTGAGCAAGAGCGAGACCCCGTCTCTACTAAAAACAGAAAGAAATTAATTGGACAACTAAAAATATATAGAAAAAATTAGCCGGGCACGGTGGCACATGCTTGTAGTCCCAGCTACTGGGGAGGCTGAGGCAGAAGGATTGCTTGAGCCCAGGAGTTTGATGTTGCTGTGAGCTAGGATGACGCCACGGCACTCTAGCCCGGGCAAAAAGAGTGAGACTCTGTCTCAAAAAAAAAAAAAAAAAAAAATCTATTGAAAAAAAATCACCCTCATTTTGAATATTGTTAAATGGCAAAATTCAGCAGAAACCTGTTTATTTAGTCCAAAAATATAAAGGTAGAAAATAAGAGAATGAACATTTCCTCCAATTATTTTCTCTTCAACATTGTAGTTATTACTAACAAAGGGATACAACTCACCATAGAAAGTCCTTTTAACAAAATATATTATTTGTAATACCTTTCTGGAAAAAATGTCTTTCTAGTAGTATTTCTATTCCCAGGGGTGGTCATTCCCAAATTAGAACACATTCACTTGTCTTTTATGAGCAGGGTTAAGATGGTATTCTCATTGGAAGTCACTAAATCAAGGTGATTTATAGTTTTCTTATTCCAGATTAAAAAAACAAAACACATCTTACTAGTTCCAAATGCTTAACATACAGCCTTAGCTTTAGAGAAACCCTGACTACCCCTGGAATATATTATGTAATTTATACTTTTCAAGATTATCTTCTCTTAACATTAGTTCCATCTCTGATCCTTGGTACCATGCTATCCAATTCCCCTTCACATAATGACATGAACTGCTATATATTGCCAGACATTGCTAGATACAGAAATATTTAATGGTTGACACAGAAGACAAGGAACACCTTAAACACCATCGTGTAGAATACTTGAGGGATGGCCATAAAAAAGGAGATTCATTCATTACTTCCTCAGTCTATTTTGGCCACACAAAATTTGGAAAAAAAGGAAACAGAATGTCACACTACGGGGAATGTGACTTGGTTTTAATGCAGTCACAGCTTTTGCTATTCTGTTGTGCCTTTCTCATGCTCCCAAACGTCTCATTATCCTGTAAGCACTGGCAGCTGTGTGCGTCTTGCTGCCAGAACTACAATGTGCACATAGTAGTGAAGAGTCTTTTCTAAAGAGTCTTTTGGCACCGTGCAAAAGTCTCAAGTGAAAATAAGTACGCCAGGATGACAGGCTCCACAGCTGCATGCTTCTTGCCAAAGCATAGTATAGAAAACACACAGATGTTTTTCCCCCAGATATAGAGTTACTCCTTTAACAAGAGGCAATGCTTCACTCTCCACGTTTTGTTTAAAATTAAAAAGAATACTTATGTTAAAATTTACGTCTTCATTACTTCGAAATTAGCTTTTTGCTTCTGTTCTTAAAGAACATTATCAAACTTAGATATAGAGGAAAAGTTCTCACTTTAAATGAAAAATTATAGTGTTTACAAATCAGTTTCCAGACTACACAGATATTTTAAGTGTCCAACCAAAAAGCGAGAAAATAAAACGCAGAAAAACACAATGGTTGCCCAGAGCTTTCCACAAAGGGCACTGGCAGCACTCACGATCTTAGGAAATGATGATAGATAATAGCTTCTGTAGCTGAAAATTAACATTTATAGAAGCGGTTTGAAAAATTTCCTGGCTAATTTTTCTATTTTTTATAGAGATAGGGTCTCGCTCTTGCTCAGGCTGGTCTCCAACTCCTGGCCTCAAGCGATCCTCCTGCCTCGTCCTCCCAAAGTGCTAGAGTTATAGGTGGGAGCCACCACACCTGCCTAACCATCATTTTGAACATGACATTTAACTGGGTATAGACTAAAATCTGTTCTGTCCCAAGAAATATGACCAAACAGCATATTTCCTACAGGTTCTGCTTTTGTCTTTATTCTTCTAAGCAAAAGAAGATTTAAAAAAGTTCGTATATATGAGATTTACACTCTTTAT